CCATCCATCAATGTGACATCCGTCCTCATAAAAAAATAACGCATTCTTCAGCATTATTAGTCTGGGGTATGTATGTGGTATGTATAAATTGTGGCTTATATGGTTGCTAAGTAAGGAAATAGCTCTGTCCTCAAGGGAGTCTTTTCGGATAACTGCAGGACTAAATACCAGCAAGCAATCGGGCCGCCATGGCACTCATGCGTTAAAACACCGATCGCGTAGAGGTTAACAATACATAGGAGCCATTTAGCTTTAGCAGCCACTGCCTCATCTACCGTTGCCTTACCGTTGTGTTTTCATCAGAGCAAGGTGGGCGAGGGAAGAGAGAGGGAAGTCTCAATAGATGTTGTGCATTTTACCGTTGCTGTGTCTGCATGCATTCTGTTTGCAACGTTCTTATTGTACTGGATTCTACGTCGCTATTTATTTGATTCTGCAAACTTGCAGTATGTCTTTCCAGTTGGATAATTTACTAGCAGTTAACATGGCACCTTGTGTGTTTTAGTTTGTCTGGAAGTGTTAATCACATCCATTCATAAAATGACGGTGATCTTCTTCCACGATCTAACTACTATATTTTTGAGTAACGGAAAAGACCGTGGGTGTTGGGCGTATGTTAAAAATCAAAATTTTATAAACTGCGATTTGCAGTTTTACTGACGGGCAGGTAATGCATTCAAAAGATGAAGCTTTAAAAAGACTAAGATAAATTAGGAGTGCGCTATAAGGAAATTGGCCGAGGACGTTTTTTGGGGATAGTGAACTACAACCTCAGTAGATTCTGAGTTTGCATACTATAGACCTTGCTAAGAACGAACTTAACGAGGATCCCGAAATATCCCTAGAATGACGAAGGCCGTGAGCTTCTCGGTGATTTTTTTGCCGGTTTGGATGGTTGGTTCTTGTTCAAAAAGAAACGTTTGTCATATATATTATTCTTTTTGAAATCATTAACAATCGAAATAATCACAGATGTCACTGCTGTTTCAGTAAAGTGCGGGGTCTATCAGATAAATACCAGGATAATCACTTCATTCAGATAATTGGAAGCTGTGTTTTAATATAAAAATCTATTCCCGGAATACTTTGTTACCTGGAAATTAGACATAAAGCAGGAAGAATTTTTTTGAACTGTTTAAGGGAACTGCGTGGTTAAGTTAGCATTAAATTGCTTCTTTTTTCGTGGGTAAGATACCCACTGACATTTGTCAAACTCTGTTACTCTCAAGATACATCTAAATATGTCATTAATTAACCGACAGATATCCTTCATTAAGGAATCAGTTGCTTCGTGCAGATCTTCTGAACATAGACAATGAATACGAGAGAGTAGAAAACAGAAAATAAAACAAATTTCTTTGCGAAAACTAACAAAAATTAAAGTAAGCCCAATATGTGTGTATTTTTCCGTTGCCGACGGCACCTCATCTAGCGACCAAATATCACCCGCATGCTCTGGTAACAGTTCACGCCGTGCAAGCGACGGTGATTTTTACTCCATGTGCGTGACCAATGACCACTACTCATAACCTGCCCCATTTTTTCACATATGTCGGTCCAATTAACCTTACATGCCGAAGTCGTCACGCAGATCGTCTGAGAACAATGATTATTACTTATATGAAGTTTATGAACCCTGTTCAACTCTCTTGTTTTCATTATCAGTGCATTTGTGCAGATTTGATAATTAGTTACCAAAAATATGTTCGCCGAATAGACATTTCATATGCAATTATGTCACATAATAAACGGGGTAAACAAAAATACATAACACCAGGAAGATAGGAATATGCCTGTTAACGCAAACAGTAGTCAATTTTCTGTCCATCAATTTCATTAGTTTTGTTGCGAGTGTGCTGGGGACAATATAACGTTATAGCGATTTGCTCGTAAAAGGGAAAATTTATCACGGAATCTAATAAACTCCCAAACAACCTGCCTGCTCTGAAATTACATTTTAGCCAGAAAAGGCTACTCATTAAGTGCAATCCAATTTACCAGGTAAATTCAGTTGAGCAAACATAATTTCTACCCATTCCCGAGTTTTTCTCCTAAACACCCGTATGCTGAAGGGTCCGATTCCACGTAGGCCATTGGAGACATAGTTGGTGAAAGCAGAAAGAAAGGGTGATGCCCATTTCCGTCGCAGTTTTGGTTCCCACCATCGCACCTAACAATGTCAGTTTGGAAGACAGTGTCTGAGTTCATTGTGAATCAGAGAAAAGAGGGAACCACAGCCCTCACCTTGCGTGACAGGCAACAAGGTGATGTTGGCGGTGGTGATAAAAAGGATGGTGTAGATAAACCCGTCGCAGTTTAGGACATCTCTTCCTGAATACTTCTTAATCTATTGGACATGTTTCAAGCAATTTGGCTCTAGGGAATCCAGCCGATAAGTTTCTAAACTTTCTTGTTTAAATAACTACTAGTATGCCTCTAAGCGGACCCATAAGTAATGGCAATTGACCTTTCGCAGGAGTTCGTGCATAAAAAGTAATGCTTTTTATCTTTTCTTTTTACCACAGAAAATCCATGTGTCTCTTGCGTCCGCTTTGGCTTTAGCCATTCGCTTGACTGACGTTAACTACGCCAAACATGGCGATGTATTGCCCAACAACACAAGTTTCTTCGCTCCGCTTACTAAAGGATTGTTTACGGTTCCAGTTCTGCCGAATGTGACATACAGCTTTTCCAATGACGACGACGAAGCAATCGAATATTATGATTTTTACTTTTTTACCTTCACACGTGCAATATTTGCGACAGGCACCAATATCAGTGCTTTGGACTTTGAGGAGATATTTGAACTCAACAGCGTGCTCTTGTACCCAAAAAGCACTTTCACAACTGTGAACGATAAAGTTTGGCCAGATCCCAATCGTCATCCTGAAAGTAATTATTGTCTACTATCGCCATGTTTTAAAGGTACTACAACTCTGATTCAGAACAACACAGTTGCCTATTTCAAAAAATAGGAGTTTTATTGTCTAAAAACATAGAAATTTGGCTGAAGCGCTCATTTTCACTTTTTTACTCAGTCTTTCTATGACTGCAAAATTAACTAAGTCAAACACCTTTGACGATTGACACACGTAATGGCGCCTATGGAGTAATGACTGCCTACTTTTGATAGAACTGCGACTAAATATAGACTTAGGACTTGGTTAATGACATTTTAGTATGATTTTTTGTTGTTCAGTAGCATGTTCCTGGTATGGGATTAAATGTTGGGTAAGGCAGGTAGCAGTGACGTCTGCCTTCATACTACGTATCAATCTCATGGCATCCTACTATGTCATTTTGTTCGCCTAGTTTGTGGTTGTATTTTAATTGTGAACCAATATAATTATATCAAGAAAATTGTCTAAAATTTAGGACGGAAGAGTGTCATACAACGGCTCGACTGGAAACCACTCGTCGTATTGTGCCCTATGGCTCAGTTTTGGGCCTCGGCAGCAGCCGTGCAAGCACTAATGGTTTAGGCAACAGACAAACGAATGCCTTATATTAACATGGATGTACTTGCCGGATATGTAAGCAGTATTTACTGTTCTGCATCATTGTCACGTGACGCCTGAAATGAAATACGATCGGCGCAATCTAATTTTCAACGACAATGTGTCAGACTATTCGACAGAAATAATTTAGTCCCGCCTTCCAGAAACGAGATTTCGATTCCAACACAGTGGTCTTTATGGAATGGTTAATAGCTTTGTGGGAACTCATATTCCAAAAACGTAATGATACATAATATAGCAAGCACTGTTTGTTGTCTAATTTTGTGAAAGATAAGGGGATCTCTGTAAGGAGTCCAGGAGCATATGAAACTTCCTGGCACTGTCTTTAACTGATTTTCTATTTCGAGGATGTAGGGTGACAAAAGAGCTAAGTGAAGTGCAGGAAAGTCATAAATACAATAAAGATAAGCCTGGGCCTTTTAAGTAAAATATGGGACCTCCACACATTATGTGCACATTTTTGTGAATTTGCTTTGTGTTTACTAGGACAGACAAGCATAAATGGTCCCGGAATTCTGTAGGGTCAGGTGACAGATATCCATATGAAATAGGGGATGGAGAGGACAATATTGACGGTCCTGTGACACTTGCGCTTAATAAAGGTATCCACATAACAACCTTTTCCATAGGACAGTGATAAGGACAGCATTTGTTCGTAATTTTACATTTACTCAGAATTACTTTATGGGACCGTTTTCTTCTTTTTCAGTTCCCACGCCAGTCATAATTTTGCAGATTACTGTCGGAATTATTGGAGCCTGCGGATTCATTTTAATTCTGAAGTTTGCTATCAGGTATCCGTACCACTTCTTTGATGCCTCATTATCTTTAAAAATGGTAAAAATTACCATTAGTTCCATTTCTTTGTTGTCTTTGTGCGTTAGATTCTCAAAAACGTCGTACAAAGTCCACATTTAAAGTAGTGCAACAGGATTTCTACAAGAAAGGCACCTCCGGTGGCATTGATAATGGGCTGATTTCGAAAATGCGCCAGACTGATGATAGTTTTATTAAAATTGAACACTTCAAGTGCTCTTGGCAAGAATTACGTATCGTACAACCTGCAAAACAAATACCAGGTGTGAGGTAAATAATAAAAAATCTAGAGTCTTTGGCATAATGACAGCAGATTTCTAGTGGATTCGATGATCATCTGCGCTAACAGAGCTACAGTAAGTCATCTAAACATCCACCACTCACGTTAAAATTTGCAATGCTTTTCGAGTTAAAAAATAGGGAGTAATTTTTTAGTCGTATCTAGATTATTTGAATTTACCCCGGAGGTCTACGGGAAAAATTTAGTCCGTTTTTTCCACTACGTAACATCTAAACATTAATGCTTTTCCACTGCGTCATTGACAAGGTTTCCTTAGTTTGCGGACTGCTACATTTTCACAAGAAAATACTGTGCCTTAATGATCTATTCTGATGTGTATATCTCCGGAACAGGCCTTTTAACAAGCCAGCTTAAATGGCTTCCTTTGATCACGTATTTATCATACATTCGCATTCAGTTATTGATAACTGTGACCATTGTAAGTATCAGTGGCAATCGATTATTAGCCTTATTTCAAAATAGGATAAAATTAGAACGTGTCAATTGACTGTTGCCATATTCAGTGTCAGTAATAATGGCTACGTATTGGTTTCTATTTTATTTGTTGGCATGTCGTTATTACTTAAAAAAAATATGCTAGATAGTATATAGAATAGAGCGTAGGTTGCCTAGCAAAGTATGAGAGTCGTCGATGAACGATGCTCGTTATGTTGTGAATTAATTTTATTTTTAGGCAACAAAACAAGACCCTGAAAATTCGAAAGTGCCCGAACGGACTCATTTTGTATCCAGACGATGTTGAGACCACTGAAGTCTCCACATCGCCAACAGAGGAGTTACGGGTGAGAGTTTACCTGACTTTTTGTAAAACAATTTTTTTTGTTTGCTCACAGAAGACAGTCAACCGGCCTAATGGCAATAACTTCATGGTAATTGACGTGAACGCTTATCTATTAAAAAGAAATAAGATCCGAGTGGAATAATGTAGAGACACCCATTGATGTTACATATGTGCATGCCAGCGAAATCGCTGTCCTACGAAACGTTTGAGATTTTCGCTTGCTTCCACAGGGAAGATTAGCAGGAAGGTCATCATTTATAAAAGGAATCTTTAATGATAATCCTGTATTTACGCAGATTTTATAAGAGAGTTAACATCGATTTCATCGACCGTTTATGGAATTAAGGAAAAAGCTGACAAATAAATGGATCTGAGAATGTCCATAAACCTTGTAAATCATTTACGTTCACAGTGCAAATATTTCCTATTTGACTAACAATAATCTTCAAAATCTAAGCCGTCTGATATATGATGCCATCCTTCCAGGCAGTGCGTCTACTTCTTTCTCGACTAGAACCAATGCCCTCAATTTTGTTTTATCACGCAATTAGAATGACCAGCCAATTGCCTCCTACGGTTTAAACGTTGAAAATGCTAACACCACGTCAGCGTGTCCAGGGGAAAATGCAGCACCTCGCACTGTTCTTCTATACAAGGTAAGCTGGCAACATCAGTGAATTGACTGGGTGGATCTAACATAGGTTACATGCTAGTCATTTTCAGGAACATTCTAGAACATGAAAGGGGGTCATAATAATCAACCTGTTCATTAAATAATTTTTTCTCATCAAAACTATTATTGCTGTGTTATTTAAGGGCGAGACCTTATTTAATTGGTAGTTAAGGCAATTTAGAAGATCTCAAGTTGTAATTCAAATCTACTACAACACGGCTCAGAATTCGTGCAACATACCGAAGTTTGAAAAATATTGATGAGCGCTCACAAACCGGCATTAAAGCATGCACGAGAACTAAGAAGAAATCATGAACAGCCTTAGGAAAATTTTTTACAAAAGAGACATATAAGAAGTTACAAGTGTTTGTTAAGAAGAATGATATGTTCTTCATAACCTCCAAGTTATGTAGACGTAAAAGATAGCTATAAATTAGGACGGAAAATTTAAACCTTAACGTCATTTTAGAGGTTAACGATACCATTTTTTATATAAAAAACGGCAACAGCAGTTTAAATAGTGCACTTCATATACACTTAGTCCCAGCATTTTGGCATAAATAAACGGTGGTTATAGGGGTTCTGGGGTCGGATAAATAGAATAGGCAGTCAAATATACTTTAGTTTCAGCTATTTGCACTTTTAATTTATGGTATATAGAAATGTTGTTGATTTATATCTGTAGACTTTCCTTATCAGTATTATCGTTTGACTTATTGTGGAAAAACCCGATTATCGAAATGCGGGTTTCTTGAAATACCTGAAAAAAGAAGTGGTGGTAAGAAGGTCGTCTACTTCAACTTAACTGATGTCCAACTTACCGTTTAGGAGCTAGGTTTGAATAGTCAGTTCCGCAAAGTGCCGCGCACACTTTCAATTTACATGTGGGACAACTAACTCCCAGCGGCCCCGGGAAACACATTCAACTACATTTTTCCACTGTGCACTTACATCTTCATATTATGTTTCCCTGCCTATCCTATTTTCCCATCCCATAACTCCTATAACCTCCGTTTCCGTAGGACAAAATGCTGGGACTAGGGTTATATGAGGTGCACAACTAAAGCTAAGTTTGCCAAAAGAACTTTTTTTACGTCAAAATATTCAAATATTTTGTTATTATTTCATTAGAATTAGTTAAAAATAGACCTTTAAATGGCGATAAATTTTCCAAACTTTTCAATTTCTTTAAGATGTTTATGTCAAAACCTTTAAAAAAAGATAGCTATTAAATGAATTTACCAAAGAAATGAGTTTTTGGATATAAGTTCGTATGAAGCTGGTCATGTGGCCCATAGTTAGAAATTCCTCCAAACGGCAAAACTCATTGTCAAGCAAAAAGAACCTTCGCAAAAAAAGTCTTATATAATTATTTCTCTGCTTAATAAAAAACATTCCATAGTAGGTTACCTCATTTAAAAAGTACTCTTCTTACAGCTGACGAAATTCTTTGCATAGTCCCTTTTTTCAAGGTAATGTCAAATAAAAAATGACGATTTTTGAAAATTTTTTATTTATCTAAATATAAATGATTCAATTTGAATGGAAATCAAGGAAGTCACTTTTCCCTTATTAGTTGATTATTTTACGCCATCATATAGTACTTCCAGGCTCTGCTATAGCTTTGGAGTGCAAAAAAAGAGACTTATGTAACCCATATTTTGGCAGATTTATTATTCTACTGTCCGTTCTGTTTCTACATTACACATAAGCGGAAATTATACTGTACAGACAGTATATTTCTATATGAACTAGATTTAATAAGATTCGGATTTACGTAAGCGTTCACTATATGACAACTTTGCTTATGACAAGCTAAACCTTAATGCGGTAAAACAAAGTGCGCTCAAAACATATTTGACTGCATTTTGTGCCAAAAAATTCAGTGTCGCAAAAAAAATAGTTTTTCAAACTGAAATTATTCATCATTTCTGAAACTAAATGTGATTCCTTTAAAGTGGCTTCGCTTACATTTGAGCAAAATCGGACTACATTTTCCAGTTCTGCATGGTTTTTTTTAAATTTTCCTTCTCATATTTTGGAGAACTTCTATAGCACAATGCATATTGTAAAAAGTTTGTTTCTGTCCTATTTAATACCATGGGAAATTCCTTCAATATAGGACTAGTTCCAATTTTGCCAAACTAATACCCATTTATCTTAATAATCCTAAATAAAACAGTGATTTTGACAGCTAAAAGGCATTCCCACGGTTAAATACCTTCAGTAGATCAAAATGACGTGAGCAAATATATGCTAAACCACCAGGTCAAATTTCGTCATGAATGTTGCACTATTTCTTGGCTATACTATATTTATGTAACGGGCGGATAAATATTGCTCTTAATATTTTACTTGCAGGGTCGCATAATTCACCTAAAGCGAATTGATGTACCTGAGGCAATACTGAAATCAAAAGTCATGGGTCATTTGCGCGCCCTCCGTGAACTTCAATATGAAAACATCAACCCTTTCATTGGAGTTTATGTGGACAGCAAATCCTTTTATCTGGTGTATGACAACTGCAGCAGAGGAAGTCTACAGGTATGTTTTGATCCTCGGTGAGTGTATGAGGCTACCCTGGTAGTCGGCCTCAAAACATGTCATGGGTAGCATCAGGGCTTAATAAAATGAGTAAACAGGTAATTAATAGCAAAAACTAATGAGTAATATGAACCTTGTAGGGCGAAGCACAACTGATTCGCCTTGAACATATATTAGATTCCTACACTTGCATCCTTTCACAAGTTTGTTTATGACTAGCAACAACGGCAGCTCGAGAACTTCGAGTCAAAGACTCCCCGCAAATTCATTCGTAGCCATTTCCGTTATAAGCTGTAAAATATCATACTGAGCGTGTTATGTAGGCCTATAAGGATTGGCTTGACTCATGTCCGTAGTAAAAATAACAACAAAACGCCTAATCAAATGTTTTCAACCTGCGGATTTTTCTCCTTTTAGGACGTTCTGGCTCATCCAACTCTTACTCTGGATGAACAATTCCGACTTTCTCTATTGAATGATCTAATCAAGGTATTCATCTATAATCTCGGTGCCCTGATCGAAAACCTCGAAATCATCATGCGTCATATGTGCTTGACCTGAAAGGCTGTTGAACATATATTTAGCCCACGATAGTGCTCACTGCCATCTTCAAGCAATCGCCAGTAACCGATTGTATACTTCGGTGGCGATTTTTTGCAAGCACACAATTTCACAGTATAAGAGCGCTTTCTCGGCTATGTGAATTCTCCATAAACATCGTCGATGTTAAACAGATACTGTCATACAACATTTAATAGTGATGGGATTGACACAATAAATAATTATTCCATATAATTAGGTCCTAGTGGTGTTCCGAAACGTAGAAGCTATTTGGTCCTCATTTACATAACTAAGACAAACGCGCGCATCTTGGATGTAAACTGCTGTTTAGGCTGACTTTTAAATGGAAAAACAAATGAAGATCACCTTGAACAATATAAGGGACTTGGTTACTGCGAGGAATCATAGGTTAGTCTACACCAATATGCGTACTATGGTTTTCATAAAAGTGTGTTTACTTATATTTTTGGTATCTGACATGTTCTAGTCGACCTCTAACGTTATTTGTGTGTTGGTATGGTTGGCTGGGCAAATGTTGTTAAAAATAAATCCTGTTCTCGAATATATAAAATACTGATAACAAGTTTTCCAGCTCAGTTTTATCAAGGGAAGAAAAAGCTAATGCCCTTGAGCTCCCTACTGATAATAAAGTGGTAAGGAAATGGATCAATACAAAAGACAAATTAAAAAAGATGTCGTTTCATAATTGCAGGCAAAAAACGAGCAGCCATCGGTTGGTCGAAAGGAGTAGACATACACGGCTGCTCACTTATCACGAGTAGCATAAATCCATGTACCGGAGCTGCATACATAGGGTATCGTGTAGCTGGTGAATGAGAATCTTGATACATCTGCAGTTTGCTCTAAGACGAACTCACACGGTCGGAGCGGGCAACTTCTTCGGACAGAGTGCTACACGCTGCGACCACTCTGTTGCTAACGAAACACTTAGGTCCACCTACCCTAGTTTGAGGTTCGACAGTCTGTTTCCATAGGACAGTATTTGCAGACCTCTGGACCTCCTTTTAGTCAACGGTCTCCATGACTATGTAAACAATTGAAGGTGCCGTCAATCGAAGCCTCACCTAATTAATCATCATATAGATATAAGCTGACCCAATTGTGAAAAAACTCGCGGCGTTCGGCGGGAATTGAACCCGCATAGTAGTGAAGGCTTTAACGCGAAGCCAATGCCATATCAGTTGAAATACGAATGCCACGCATTGCGCCGTGAACTTGAACCCACTTGGATTGATTTTACCAGCCTAAGTTTACCACTCGTATGGAATCCACAAATACGGAACCGCAAGCTGACTGCCCAAGCAGCAGTTCCTAAGCAATTATATAGAATCCACCAGAATGACTAATAGGCTGACTTGTTAGTAAGGAGGTTTGGCAGATTTGCTAAATTTAATTTGACCCAACTGCGGGTAAAATCGATCCAAATGTGATTGAATAGACGGCGCAAGGCGTGGCATTTTAGCTCAACTGGTAGAGCATTGGCTTTGCATTAAGACCTTCTGTACTATGCGGGTTCAAATCCCGCCGAACGCTGCGAAGTTTTTCACATTTGGGTTAACTTAAATTAAGAAAATCTGCTAAACGTCCTTAATAACCATATAGATCTAGCCGAGTTCGCCGCCTTTGTGCAGTTCAATTTCGGTTTGAGGGAAAATGTAATGCTCACACCCAAGTCCTTCTGATTATGAAATTGTTGTAGTAGTGTACCGTTTAAGAAGAAAATCTTTGGCTAGAGCTGCTACAAATGCCTATTTTAAAAAATTTGCTTTTTTCTAACTTTAAAGGGCATAAGTCAGTGCCCTGACCAATCCTCCACCCTGTTCAAATTTGTTTGCAGATGGTTTTCCTCTGGCGTATTTTGAACAACTTTTCACAGTTTTATTTCGTCAACGAACGAGGTGACGTTACCGTTTATGTCCTTGACACAGTCGCTGATGGAAACAAGGAATAAGGTAGGATCTAATATTGGACTCTGTGGGACGTCCTTCACTACAGATACTCCTGAAGACTACCAGCACCCGATTTGTACTCCTTGAGACCCTCCGGTCAAAAAGGTTTCAAATCCATACAAAGAGGTTCTCACGCACTGCGTTGCACAGTTTATGCAGGAGACCTTGGTGAGGGAAGCTGTCACATGCGTTTTTGCAGTCAGTATAGATGACATCCAGCATTTTGCCTTCGTCACCTGCTTTGGTTTAGTGTTCATGTGAGAATATCATATTCATAAACCAGGACATTTCACTGCGAAAGCCCTGTTGGGCATAAGAAAGAAGGTGATTCTGCTCGAGGTATGGCATCATCCCTTTCTTAGTGATTTTCTTAATGGTTTTGCAACAAATTGAGATAAGACTCACCAACCTATACTTATTCGCAGACGTTCGAATTCCACTCTTGAATAGTGAAGTGATGGTCGCGAACGTCTAATCATTGTGTAGACACCCAGTATTATATGACTTATGGATAAGTAAGGCTAGCGCCTTGGCCATTTCAGAAGTCAGGTCCTTGAAAAACTTGGCCGCGGTTGCATCGGGGCCTGGGGAGGTCGATTCATTCAAGTTGAGCAACTGCGCCTATATTATTGCTTCGGTTAAAAGGACTGTGCCGATAATAGGCATGAATTCTTCTTCGAAAGCGGGTGGAAAAAATTAGAGTTAACTCGTTACGACGGACCGGAAGATATGTGAAAGACAGTGAACCTTCTCCATTTCGTCAGCGATTTCCTCACCCTTGGCAGTTCGCTATACGGGGATAGTAAATTTGTTCCGCGAACTCTGTAAAATGCATTGGGAGTAAAAAACAACATGGTTAAAGAGATCACTTCTGAAGCTCTGTGGATCCTTGCTAATGGGAATTTTGCCCCAATTTCTCTGCCACTCGCAAGTTTTGAAGGATACAGGCGCCCCATCAATGAGGGATTTTTTCCACATTTTATTCTTATTGTTTAGTTGCCTTCATTAAGAATTGAGTGAATCTGCGAGATCTGTTCTTTAGGTTTCTGTGTATTATTGGGTAGCGATTATAAACTATCTCTTTGAAGTATGATCTCTCGGGATATTGTGAAACTAGTCCCTACACAAGAACCTACGTTTCTAGCCCTAGAGGGTTAGATGTTACCTATCCATGCCGTCACTGTCAACAGCAAACGACACGTGGACGACAGGTAAAGTATGAAGAGCGTCTGCGACTAGAAAGAAGAACCTGGGACACATTCTACTTGGTCGTACGCCATCGTTGTTACGTAAGGTTAAGTATTAAAATAGCTATCTGTCAGCTATATTTGTCCATCACTACGTTTTTTTTCCTGCTTTCTGCTTTAATTTTATTTTCATGCTGCATTCCAAACGGGATATAGGGTATGAATTTTCTGCACAAGTCTTTCGTGAAAGCACACGGAAGGCTTACATCTAGTAACTGCGTTATCAGTGTACGATGGGTTTTGAAGATCACTGATTTCGGTGTGGGCAAAGTCCGGAATTTCTACAGATTTGCCCAGCAACATGATCCTGAGGGTAAGTAACTCGCTTCTGCGTAGATTCTCAGGTAAGTCCTACATTTCTCTTTTTTCTAACTTTGTCCATTTGCGCAAAAACTAAAAGTTGCCGTTGAACTGGCGTCTTTTGACCAGAAATTTTACTTGAATGGACGCTAGAAACTTAAGTGCATCGAATTAAATCAGGTGCGGTCGATTATTGAACCGCAAGCGATAGTAGTCGGAAAACAGAATAGATTCACCGGTAGTATTTTATATGCGCAATGTTCTAGAAGTCTGTAGACTTGAAAGATCGGTGGCAGGTTCTATGTTCTGTTTAATGAAGGGGACTTCGAATATTTGAGATTTAATAACTGAGATATGCAAATCTTTGTACTGCTAAACAATCTGCGGACCGAATGGCCAAACCCCAACCAAGAGCTGTATATTGCCAGTGAAAATGTTTTGAACAAATGTACTGCGATCGGGTGTTCCTCAGTGTCTGACCCACAGAAAGGATTCCCTTTAACTAAAAAAATATCATGTTGACCGAAATCATGATTGTGTAATGCAACGCATGTGATACCGGCAGATAAACAAAACATATTTTCCAAAAGCCCTCTAAATAATCAGTTTTTACAAATACTTTAAATCAGGAAAATCTGGGAACGGTCTTCTTATCTTTGCAATAGACAAACAAACAGTTAATTCCTAAGTCTTACGCAGATTTGTGGATGCGCAAGTGCCATCTTAGTATCCAACCTTGCGAGAAGTGGTGCACATTTTGATTTAGTTAAATGCTTTACCCACTAAATGACAGGCCTCCGCCAGGACCACTGTGCTTCTTTTCGTTTTTGACTCTGTGGGTCAGTTAATATAGCTCTGTCGACTCTGTTATGGGGTGTCGAAGCTTTCAATTGTACCACAAGTGAGATGTAATAAAATTAAAAATATTCCCCAATAAAACAGTGCACTTTACGCATTCAGAACTCTCCACATTTGGAATAAAACGCATTCGTCCCCTCTGCGGGCCTTTGGCGGATAATAATTGCTTTATTTTCGACGAGAGATTAACAGGCGGACTTTGATTTTAGCCAACTGCAAGGCATGTCAAAGCCAGCGATGGGTTTTTTTACCTCAAGATTTCTTTAAGTTTACAGTTAAAGAAAAATCCCTAAAAAATGTACGTCTCTATTGCATGAAAATACTATCCTGAGAGACTCTCGAAAATCCCTGACCTGGATATATTAATTATATAACTACTGTATTATTTTAGATCTCCTCTGGACTGCACCGGAAATACTGCGCAACCCATGTCTATATTTACTGGGAACCCAGAAGGGTGACGTCTATTCCTTTGCTATAATTGCACATGAACTATTCTGTCATTCACCGCCCTTCGGAGATTGTGGCCTGGAAATCCCTGACATTCTCCAACGAATACGCTCAGGGAGACCTGTTTTCAGACCAAAGGTTTGCCATTATTCTGTCCTGATAATATTCAATGACATTTAAGCAGCATGTGCGGGAAATGGTCTCAGTGAAATGTATCCTGGCTTCTGTGTTCTACTCTCTAGCGGTAGGTTACCATGGGTGCTGTGCGTGTGCGTTAGTTAGGCGACTCCACGAACAGTTCCCACTATCACTTTTCAACCTCCATTTCAGTAGCGAACAAACTGAAATTGCATATAGTTGCCAAATATTCGGTGCGGCGAGTGTGGCGGATGCTACAGGCATCAATTCCATGGGCAGCAGAATAGATGATGGTATGCTGAAGGATTCGAGGGGGGCAACTATGGTGGCCATTACTCAATCACGAATATCGTAATTCGTTCATGTTGAAGCCCCGACCGTACAGGAATGGGGTTATATCACCGGCTCCGTAAACCTTCAGCATTGAGTCAGGCATTTATTATTGGAAGGAGTAGTTGGCAAGCGTACGTAGGTTTTCAATAAATTCTCATCGGAGCATTACATGGGTAAAGGGGTAAAAAGCAAACCTGCGGGCAATTACGTTCATCATTACATGTAAATTAGTCATGAAGATAGAGGTTGGGGGTTGATAATAGGCGGCTGGTTACGCAGCAATAAAAGTTTGTTGAAGCCGGGCCAGGGGAAGAGGAGAAGGGAGAGAGAAATCACGGAAAAAATCAGGTAGTTATGTGACCGTTGGTCAGGCCACACTCGGAGCTTGCAGGAGGTTCTTTTGGGCGCACAATACCGGCTTCCTCAACCTGATAGCGCCAGCTTCTGCAATTGCTAGCAAATGCTGACCAAAAGACCATGGGTGGCTTGTTGTGACATTAAAAATCACATTGATGGGCATCTTTGGAGAGCATCATCACGTCGATCATGTTCATTTATTTCATGCCGTCTATAAATTTGAACGTTTCTTGATAGCTACATGGTGCTAGGTGCCACTGTATGCGTTTGAGTTTCTATGTTAACAACTTTACCATACCATGATATGGCGAAGTCCGCATGTCCAAAGTCGGAGAAACTAGCAGGCCATACTCGTAGATCTTAGGTAGACCATATAAACGAAAAATGTGAGTGCCTACTGGCCGGAGGCGTTTGAAGTCACTATCGCATATGATTCCTGCCATGTGGAATCTTCTTAAGCAGTCGGTCAGCAGTACCTATAATTCATCCATGCAATCTTATTCTCTGTCTTCTCTCTTAAATTAATTCTGGTCCGATAAACTAATTGCCTATGGTTGCGTTAAACGAAAGTAGGACTGGGATGAGAATTTTTGGCGTTTAACTCTTTTTAGCCAAGCATGCCGACATTTCGTCCTAAAATCCGTCTGAAGGGAATATAGCTGCGGATACAGAATAGCTCACTTTTAAATAGAAACTCAAACGTACAATTTTCTTTTGGCTGAAAGGACTGAAATTTCACCGCGACAATTTTTTAAATTACCTTAACTGTTTCCAATGCATCCGCACTTGCGCAATATAACACCCAATATATTCAAATTCGAACAGCATCAATTTGCAAAGACCAGCTGCCTATGATGTTTGCTTCGCAGAAAGTGTTAATGACTCGGATTAGACAAAAAAAACTAGTACAGTTCAGATCCTCATATTCCTACTTGGTTTTACTGATCGAATGAAACTGTCCCCTCAGGTGCTTACTTCTTTTCACAGTAAATAATATCTGGCCAACGCTCAATGTGAACGCCATCGTTCGATTAGTTTTAAAATTGTGATATGTTTAGAAGAAGAAGATGCGCCCACTGGAATAAGCGTTTTATTTTCTTGACGTTTGCGATTCTGTCGAGAATCTTTAATCATAGTATATCGTAGAAAAGTCTGAGACATGTGCAGATAAGGGTGATACATTCACAGATTACAAAGCATTTATAGTTCTTAGCGGTCATCCGCATATGTACTATAATTGTCAGTTCCTGTAGCCACCGCTTGAATTCCTTATTGGTGCGGTAACGGCTCAGTAATTGCCACAGTTTCCTTGTACGCGTCGGACGCGGCCTTGATAATTGCGCGACAATTGTGCCTGCTGTCGTCAGAGTTGTGGCCGTGCCCGGCTCTTCCCACGTGACTGATTCTCGTGCTCAAGAAAGTTCACAGAACATCGTTGTGCTTGTTAATGGACTGGGGACCTGAGAACCATGACTCCTGCAGCTCGCGGCTCACGCGGTTGTCATCTCTTTGGGGGATTTCGGCCTCGTCAAACTTGAAAATATGACGAGGTGCCGTCGAGTGAGCTGCAACCTGGGAGTTGGTGTTTTTTTTTCCTCAAGGATTCTCGACGGAATTCGAAACGTCAGGAAAATAAACTCTTGCTCCAGTGGCTGCATCTTCTTCTTCTGAACTGCTTTCTGGAACTCGCACATTCACTTCTATTGCGATAAGTTTTTTTAACATTTCAGATTGAAAAGAAGAACATAGCTTCAACACTCAAAGAACTGATAAAAAGCTCATGGTCGGAGATTCCAGAATGTCGGCCTACTTTTGAGCAAATCAGCCAAAGTTTTAATGAAATCGTACATTGCAGGTTAGTGCGAACGTTTGCAATGAGTTCTGTTTTCTCGTCAAATTTTCCGCAAATGCACATCTTACTTGCCCCGTTCCTGGCAGATAAGGTGAACAGGTAGTATTTGCTTTAGTGTGAAGCGGGTCTGACGATTCAACATTAAACTAACGACTGAACTCGGATCTCGCAGTCCGCCTAATATTTTTATGCTTGCCAATGGTGGGCAATATGCGAGTTCCAGGAAGCAGTTCAGAAGAAGAGGATGCAGCCACTGGAACAAGAGTTTTATTTTCCTGACGTTTTATATTCCTTCGGGAATCCTTAATCATAGGTAATGGTAGCATAGTCATAATCATGTGCAGATAGAGTTGAAACATGCACAAGTTGCACGGTATATTTAGTTCATAGCGGTTATCCGCATGCGTTTTATAATTTTCAGCTACTGTTGCCACCGTTAGGTCTTAATTGATGCGGTACTGGCTTGACACTTCGCGTTCGACGCATTAATTGCTACAATTGCCTTGTTAGCGTCAGATTCGGGCCTGATAATAGCGTGGCAATTATGCCCGCCACCGTCCGACTTGTTGCTGCACCCGGCCCTTCCCCGTGAGTGATTGTTTTCCTCAGGAAACTTCTCAGTACACCGTATGGGAACGCCAAATCGTTGCACTTGT